GATCGTGATTGTCAAAAGCCATGCATTATCTGGTGTAAATAAAGTATCATTCACTCGGACAAACCGAAACGAGCACACACACACACACAAGCACGTAAACACACCAACAAACAAACGACAGCCATTTTGTGCAATTTGTATGTTGGTCACCTGTCCAATTTCAAAGCGAGTAAGTAACCCCCCTGGGGAATTCAGGTCCGACCGGAATTGACAACAAGGGTTGACCAAGTCAGTTGGTCAATCAGTCAAATCTGTCGCCGTGATCCAACTTAAGAATCGGTCACAATCAGTATCACAATATCGACGATATACTATCGATAGTGGAACACATTGGCAAATACAGACATACACACACACACACACAAATCAATGGATCAGTGGACATACCCGAGATTGTATGTATGAATCATATGGATAAACAATGGGCGCGAAAGTCGGAATGAGAAGGATGACAGAGAGGAGAACGTTTGAAACATGAAGATGCCAGCTTCACTGAGGCTGAATGACAACCAAGTGTGGGTGTGTTTGCACTACCAGACATTCGTGAGACCGGGAACAAAAACGGCAATGGAAGGAGGGACAAAGACCATGATCAAGTCGGGTGTGACAGCTGAAGAGTGAGTGAATGACACAATCACCTGATTGATCACAAATGTAGATCACGATATTCACTTGGCACCGAGACCTCCGATTATCAAGCAGGACAGTGCTAGCTAGGATAACTGTCAAGTATCCCGTAGAGTGTATTCAAATGAATTGAAACACGAGCTTAGATTCTATGGCACACTGGTTAGCCTCGGTAATTGAGATTGACGGTAAAGTATGACAACGAACGCCAGTAGATTGGATTCATTGGAGTAAAGACATATCGGGGCCAGGATTGTGGATCAACGAGTACAATTAAGTGTACCGCATAGAAAACACACCATACAGAACCGATGTGGTATGGTGTGTGTGCGTATGCCCCAACAAATGACTCGAAAATGATATGAGTGAGTGTTCAAGCCCTCGTTCAGGTGAAATTTCACAGATTCTTGCACGACTATCCAACAATTCGAGTGAACCAGAGTTCTGACGGAATCTTTCCGGGGGTTCTCGAATTATCTTTTTATAACCCGCAAAACCCAGAACAAACACCACAAGAAACACGGTTGGCATTGAACGGACGATTGGCCAAACTCACATCCGGTATATGTGTGTGTTACACTCAGTTTTCATCCCCGAGTTCGGCATCAGTGAAGTTCTATCAATACAACTTCTTCCTCCGCCACAGCCGTGTAGCAGAACTGATGAATATTATGGCATAGAAACACACGATCCTTCGAACTACACAAAAAGGTCACAGTAACATCACAGTTGTGTGAGGACAGTGATTACCGGTTGGAAGTTAGATGTGCTTGCGTTCACCTATTGTTTTATCCTATCGTGACACAGGAGTTAGACATATTGCATTATTCGGCATCCAGAAGAAGAAGAACGAGACAAATGAGAGAGGATTTCAAAATGGGTGCCTAAGACTTTGCGACACGTCGTGGTAGACCAGACCGACGAAAAGATTTTCCGTTGGGGACCCTGATTAGAGTCTTGGATTAAAGAGTTTCAAGCACAGTTTAGTTCGGGCCTAGTTCCATAGCAGTGTATGTGAGCAAAGCATTCGTGTGGGAGCTTCTAGAAACTGGTCACGTAACGCCTTCAGATTCGTTCGTAATGTGTTGATTGCCAGACTCTTATTGGGGATCAATCAGCCTTATGCACCCCGTGAAACAGGTGGAACGTGGACGGGATAGCACCTTATTGCTTGGGGGTGCTCAGCTTGGGCGACCGGCAACTGTGCGAAGTTTTCCACCATCGTCGGGAAAAACGCAGGCGATTAATTACGGAGAAAATCCTTGAGTATTGAAGTTTAAAGCGAGGGTATACCTCTCATAGATTTGCCGTAGCGCTTTGCAGAGGTTGTTGTTGTGGGTCTGTCCAATGCGCATACATAAAGATGACATTGTCACGTTGCTTAAAATCGCAGGGCGATCGTGTATTTGCGTAATGAAGAAACACAAATGGTAAAGTGACGATACTATTTAAGGATGGGGTTTCCGCGGCATTCACCTTTTATCACCGAGAATGAGAGCATAATGAGCGTACAAGTATTTGTAAAATGACGGACCAATAATTCATGTAGCGGATGCACACCTAACTTTGTTTGCTGAGATTTCTTAAGATCAACTATCTTGCATGATTAGTGGTTGCAAAAAATGAAAATGAAACTGAGACGGAACCCCCGTCAACGAAGGAGTCACGACAGAAAATTGTCAGAGATTTGAAAGCCTTAACAGTTAGATACAAGTACGTATAAAGGTTGCACAGCTACAATCCAAAAGACTTGACAATTTACGGGTACGCAAAAAAGTTAAATGTTACGGGCAATGATACTGTTATAATTGATTTCTTTTGTAACACAACTACTACATGTAAACGACTGTGCCCCGTTTCTTGTGAAAAGTATTCGAGTAATAGGACCAGTCAAAACAAGTGACTACTACATAATGCTCATACCCTTGCATTAGGAAATTTTTTCACAGTTATTTAAACAGCGAGTATGAGTGTTTGAAGTGCAATAAAAAAACGGCTAGCACCTAGTGCGTGGAGCAGACGATGCGACCACTTAAACACAAGTTACAGCAACACGTACAACATATAATGCGTTTGGGTGAAGTACGATTTCAATNAAGCATGACTGACGCTTACTCTTGGCAGCTTGTTCCGGTTTGTTCCGTGAGGCAGGTTAGATTGTGCGCACTGGTGCACTGATAAACGGTTCACTTTGGATGTTGAACCTAGACCCTAGGCATTCGATCAAATCAGAAGAGCCTCCTGCTATTTCACAACTGTTTATCCAATCCTTTTTGAGGGTTGGGTGGAAGGTGTCTATTGAAACACATGACAACTTCAATCTCTCTATCAACGGTGCTTTAAGAATACATTATTGCTCAAGGTACTGAATCCCTAGGGAAACGAATCAATAGACGATAATGCGATGAAAATGGAGCACAAGAAAGCGACGAGAGAGCAAACAGAATGGCGGTCATTGTTGACCGCTCCAACTCAATTACTGGTTCCTTCAGCCGGTCGTTCTATATGCAGCGAACCAAACAAACAAGTCACTAGAACACCAATCACTACTCACTTTGAGAAGCACCAACATTGTATGACAAGATTCTAGCCTGGTAGTGCAAAGGCTGTCAAAGAAGCAATACCCGTATCGTGAGGTGATAAAATGTAAAACACGTGTATTCGAAACAGTAGCAATAGTGACTGGATCAGACAGATCAAACCAAACCACAAGGATGTTGTTCAGAAGGTGAAAAATGACAGAAAATACAGGGTGACATCAGGTAACTTTAGTCAGGACAGAACGATGAATGTAGGGGCATGAAAAGGTTTGAATATGTAGTTAAAGGGGAAAAACGATGGGAATGATTGTTCTAGAATAGCATACCAAATCGATTGGAGACCAATAGGAGGGCTTTTCAAGTTTGAAGATGGGCTGGATAGATGTGTTGGAATTTGGAACTCAACCAACCCGAGCAAGAACAAAATAAATTAACGCATATCTATCCAAATAGACTTACGCGGATCGAGAATGAGAACAGATCCATTTCGTTTGAAATGAATTTGTGCTGGCGGATGACTCTTGGGTATGTGGCATCGAATAACAGCAAGATTGTCCAAATAAACAGGCACTGTCAGGGCGTCTTTTCCGCCGTAATTATCCACACGATCTGCGTTTAAATCTGATAGATGTGGGGTGGGTGCAAAGGACAGATAAAACTGTGTAGAGATTTTTGATTCACTATCAAAGATTGATGAATAAGTTTGTTGTATTGTTACAAAAAAATGGATTCTTCAATGAACTGGCTTTGATGGAGCTGTATATCCAAAATTACCCGGTGTTGCAAATGAGGTTGTTGTGATGTATATATATTGTGAGGCAGTCAGTAGTATGCCAAGACTATTATCAATCAATCTTGTTCGGGAACGGCACAAACTATTGAGGAACAACAAACATTCCACCGGTATCAACAGCCATCTGACGTCCGTTCAAAACAATCAATACTTTTACAAAACAAGCATACAGATTGCTCCATCCTATCCGACAGAGAGATAAACAGAGGTTGGCCAACCAAAAGCCGGTCAACTGTCGCATACACACACAC